GTCTTATAAACCAAGAATATGTTAAGTGCTTTACATACATTATTATCTCATTTAATTCTTAAAATCTCAGAAAGTAGGTAACTCCATTTAGTGAATAAATAAAACTGAACCTCAAAAATATTACATAAGGAGTCCAATGTCACACAACCAGTGATGTCAGTATCAGGACTTGAACCTAGGTCTATAGAGCACCAAAACCCGTGCCACCTAAGTTTCATACATTTTTTGCTATCTGTAACAAATCCTATACAGAAGGTCTTACAAAAGTACTTTCATTCATGCAACAAATATGAGTGCCTACATGTCTTTAAAATTGCTGTAGATATACTTTGAACAGCCCCTTTCTTGAACTGTTTTTGCAACTGGAAAGCTGCACACTATGCACTTTTCCCTTTACTTCCTCTCCTTAAATGTCAAATTTAACCATGTTATGATTATTATCAGGTAGTGGTTCAGCCACAGCTATTTCCTGCCCCAGTTCCTGTTCAGTACCCAGAATAAAATCCAGCACATTTTCATTCCTAGTGCTCTACAACTACCTGTTCTAGGAAGCAGTCAGTTGTTCTCATCTGAAAACTCACTTCTCTATTTTGTGTCACATTAGAAATTTTCATGAGACTAACAAGGTGGACTAAAAATGCAGTTTTCCTAAATGTCACTTAATATTTTCCACTTTCACATGATTCTGGTCATCAAGTGATGTTTCAGATTTGTAAATTTAATGTATTTATGGTTCGGTATTAATCTGAGAAGACAGAAGCATGAGACTTTCTCAGATTTTCAAGGGCAGTCCCAATTTAAAACACACTGGCCAGGTGTGGAGGCTCACATCTGTAATCCCAAGACTTTGGGAGGCCAAGGTGGGAAAATCGCTTGAGGTCTCTAGCCTGCCCAACATAGCAAGACCCTGTATCTACAAAAAAATACAAATTAAAAAATTAGCTGGACACAGTGGTGCATGCCTGCAGGTGTAGCTGCTCAGGAGACTGAGGCAACACGATTGCCTGAGCCTGACAGTTCAAGGTTTTACAGTGATCGCACTTCTACTCCAACCTGGAAGACAGAATGAGACTCTGTCTCAAAATAAAAAAAATTCTGGCCCACTATCATATATCAAGTAGGGGTTAAGAAAAGACAGTCAAAATATGCAAAGGGGAGTTTGCAATAATGACTCCAGGTGGTTACAGACTAGGTAAAGGGGTTAAAGGATGGCAACCGTCACTTTGGAATTCTTCGAGTCTTACTTTGAACTGGGAAAATAAGTATTGGAAGGTAAATATTAAATAAACATGTAATAATGGACAAACTGCTGAGGTTTTCCTGTAATTTTAGTATCTAAGTATGCAATTTCCAATTATCAAAATTGGGTAGTACTCACTTTGTCCAACCACATTTACATACCATTATCACTTAAACCTGGCCTTCACACATACATTTTATACAAAGCTACAATTACTTACCATTCCCTCAACAATCCACATTTCTGTTCTGAGACTCTGCCTCTTCCTGTTCTGCATGGAATGCCCACCTTCCCCACCTACAAATACCACCTTCAGACCTTTAAGGCTTCAGTGTTAGCTCCCCTGAAACCCAACTAGTTCTCTCTTAAAATTATTGTTTCTTTTTTATTCACTGCTTTCCATGTGCCAGTACTTTATATATTTTATTTAAGGCTTAATATCGTCCTTGAAGTATTATCCTTTCCATTAAACAGATAAGGGAACTGATGCTAAAAGAGGTTTGGTATTATGTTCCAGGAATTCAAATCCAGACTGTCTATACTTTAACTGAATTCTTGTCTCAAGAATTATTGGGACCACAAGCATTTTGGATTTTGGAATATTTGCATATACATAAAGAGATATCTTAGAGATGGGACCCAAGTATAAACACAAAATTCATTTCTGTTTCATTTACACCTTATACACATAGCCCGAAGGTAATTTTATATAACATTTTAAAATAATTCTGTGCATGAAACAAAGTTTTGACTTTTTTTATTTATTTATTTTTTTTTTGAGATGGTGTCTTGCTCTGTCACTCAGGCTGGAGTGCAGTGGCACAATCTCGGCTCACTGCAACCTCCACTTCCTGGATTCCAGTGAGTCTTCTGTCTCAGCCTCCGGAGTAGCTGGGACTACAGGCGCATGCCACCACGCTCGGCTAATTTTTTTGTATTTTCAATAGAGACGGGGTTTCATCATATTGGTCAGGCTGGCCTTGAACTCCTGACCTCAGGTGATCCACCCTCCTTGGCCTCTCAAAGTGCTGGGATTACAGGCGTGAGCCACCGCGCCCGGCTTGACTGTATTTTGACTGTAACCTGTCATATGAAGTCAAGTGTCTTGTGGCAACATCTTGACACTCAAAAGGTTTCAGATTTTACAGCATTTCACATTTTCAGTTTACAGATGCTGAATCTGTATATATCGTATTGTATTACCATAGTTTGTTCAAATACTTATCTCTCCCATCAAATGGATGCTCCTCAAACATAGAGAAGGTAACTCCATCCCTTTATCTTCAGCAAAATCCAATAGTGCCTATTATACAATGATCTCAAAGTGTTACTGTGTACAATAGTGGACTCAATTTACGGTTTTGCAGCATTATTTTCCACTGAGTAGTCTCCTACTATAAAGTCTCCAAGAATCCAATTTTACTGTGGTAATAAAGTATAATGGCTTGGAATGTAGGCTTTGGAATCAGAGTGTATAGGTGTAAATCTCCCCTCTACTGACTCATTAGTGAAGAAATCTTGAACAAATTAGTTAAACTAAGTCTTGGTTTGCTCATCTATAAAATGACAGTAATCAGTACCCATCTCACAGGACTAAAATGATTAAATAATATACAAGTAGTCCAACTATTTCAAGTCTCATTTTATCCACATGACACCCTAAATTCTCTTCATTTTAATGAAGGTTTTTTTCGTTACAAATTCCTTGCAATTCTGCATTAAATGGACCAGCCAAAAAAGGTTCATGGTTTAAAAACTGGGTGGGTCACCTTATTTTTAAGGCCAACTGTCCAGTGCCAGTTTGGGCTCAAAGAAAGTTTACTCATGGAGGCTTGACTATGCAAGAGTGCCCTTATTGTATACTATACTTGTTTACTCACCACATTTTCATGCTCCACCAGAAACTGGTCAAAATTAGAACACGAAAACTCTCCACCTCACCAACACCTAACTTAAAACTATCAGATGCATTCAGACAGCTAGTCTGTGTGGGAGGCAGGCTATTTCTGGAGCAAAAAAATTTCCTGGAACCACTTTGTTTCTGGCCCCAGACACGGCCCATTCTCCCCAGACCTCCAGATTCCTCTCCTCTAGGTTATGGAGGTTGAGCCACTGCAACTGATAAGGCATATCCATTTCCTTCTCTTAAAATTTGCAGTCCATACACCATATCCAAGTTAGGATTTCAAATTGTTACACTGTTTTGTGGCTCTTTAGGCTAAAGTGCGCAGTTTCCAGACTCTCAGAATTCTCCTTCCAGTATTAAAAATACGGTGAAAAAAGCCCAGTTTGAAAGAAAACAAACTTTACAAAAATACCTGAAAACAAGATCAAATACTAAGTCTCTAGCCAAAGTCTTGGAGGAAAAAAAATGAAAAAAACGTTTAAAAATGGCAAAAGCTAACCAAAAACTGTAAGATTAAAGTATCACACCTAAAAAGTAGTCTCAAAGCAAAGAGGATATACTATACACAAAGAAAGTAACCGAAAACTACAAAATATTTAATATGCACCATGAATTTCAAAATTACTTGGCATGTAAAGTACGCACTGAGATTAATAAATTGTTCCAGATCCTGCACAGGTTAGTATAAGGCAGTTCCTTGTTTTTGCCACGCTAAAAATAAAAAGGGTGACAGATTAGTGACAGAATGATCCCTGAAGTTACACAAGGAGGTGCTGAGTTAGAAAGCCATGACTCGAAGGACAATACCAGAATGCTGGCTGTCAACACTGGGCAGATAAAAATAAGAAAAACCGAAGCATGCTGTTGGAGCACGGTATTGTTTCCAGACGGGAACTACCCCTTAAGGCCCATGCCTAGCATCTCAGCACCCTCTCCGCCGTGTTGGGATCGGAAAACTCGACTACCGCCTGCTCAGAGGGGGCAGGGCAGCGACCCTCCTTCCACCTCTGCCAGCGCGCGAGCCGCCGCCCCCCACCCCGAGCCCGCTCCTCCGGCCGCTAGCTGACCTCTCCCTGCCCGCCGGGCTAGCCACCCGAGACCCCTGAACGCCCTTCCAGGACCCGACGTCCCCTCAGCACAGCGCTAAGCGAAGGAAGCAAAGGACAGGGGCCTGGGAGCGGGGCCCGAGGGGCGGGTGGCGGTGCTGGGGTTCGGCCCGTCACCATCAAGACTTGAGGACCGCGCGAGCTCGGGGGGAAGGCGGCTGAGCCTCCGCCACCAGCCGACTGATAGGAGGGGGTCGCGGCTGACTCCGGCCCTCAGGTACGGGAGACTGCCGGGAAAGTCGCCGGCGGCGGAGGGCGACGCGCTGGCCCCGGAGCCCCCACCTCCATCCCGACGACCGCTATCCTCCCTCGTCCCGATCCATCCTCGAGATTGTGTCAGAACTCGACGACCTCCACACGGCCCACCCGAGCGCGGAGGTGATGCCGCTCTTACCGTAGGAGCGGGCGCCGCGCCGCTAGGAGGCGGCTGAGGTGCGCGCGGGAGACTCCGAGGCTAGCGCCGCCGCCGACAGAGCCCGAGGAGCCACAACGAGACTGCCGGCGGGCGCGCTGCCTCCAGAGCGTTGCCCCACCCCCTCTCCCGCAGGATTTTGCGCCGGAGCCTGCAGTCACTGCGCGCGGGCAGGGAGGATGGGTGGAGGGGCGGGGCGTCCCGAGAGGGCGGAGCTGAGCGCCGGCTGCTCTGATTAACATCTGTGGGCCCAATGGGAGCACGGAAACTCCAGGCTGAACTTGGACTGATTTCCCTCCTAACCCGTGACAGTAGAGAGGCGGGACCAATGGGGCTTTTTATTGCCGCCTTTCTGTCCAACCCGAAAGTTAGAAAAGGTCGGTTGGTTTACACCGGAGGACAAATGGTCCAATTACCGCAGAAAAGGGACCTCTGAATCCAGATTGGCGTCCTCCCTACCTATCGGATAGGCTCAGGGGCGGTGAGAACCAGCCCCGGATGTGGGCGCGGCACTGAGGTAGGACTGAGAGATCCTATACCGCAGTGTTTTGGGGAGGCGGAACTGAATTTTTTTCTTAATTATCATGTGACGGGTTCTGGATTTAATGGGGGGAAAAGTGCGGAAAAGGACAAGGATCCAAACTGGCGAATTTCCTGATCTTCGCGTCCCTCTCCGCTCTCCGGCCGGTGGCGCTGCCAGGTGAGTCTGGGGCTCTGCCCTAGCCCGCACGGTAGACCGGCGCTGGTCTCCTGATGCTTCCGTGGGCTGTGCGGCCGACCCCCAACCCATCACACAGCCAGCCCCAAACGCGCACACGCCTGCTTGGCTCCAGGGCTTCTGTGCACATCCAGCAGGAACCGTGGTAAACTCCAACGTGTGCTGGGCCCACAGCCCATAAAAGGGGAGCGTCCGGGTGGGGCGCCGCGAGCCGACTGTCGGTGTTTGCAGAAGGGCAAGTATAGTTTAGGAGCGTCCTGAAGTTCCAGGGGCAAGTAGGCCCCCAGATAAGCTAAGTTGTAAGCAGAACGCTGTTCCTTTGGCAAGGCCGTTGCTGCAAGGCTTTTCAAAAGCGACTCATTATGGAGAATAAATATGTGGACTCATGAAGCAAAATTATCTTTGGGATGAGGCAGGTTCACTTGGTAGAGTACTGGCAGTGGCGAGAGAAGGGAAATGGGGGCTGATACCCACCCGCGGGCGATGTCGGTGGGGCTCTATATATTTCCATAACGGGGTCACTCCGAAGGTTTTAAAAATGAATAAGGAATCATTAACAAATATTTAAGTGTCTTCCTAGTGCAGGAAATAGCCACCTTAAATGGGAAACATTTTAGTTGAGCACATTTTTGGAGTACGCACCTCCCCCTTTCATGTGGAGAGAATAGTAGGAAACATAACGACTGCCCAAATTGATGAAGACGTAAATGTAAAACTGGGATCGTATGTCATCGTTGTAGCTCAGCCTACAAGCGTACAATCCTTCAATCGTCATTTAAGTATCAGCAGTGCTTCCCCACTGAGGGTATTTTCGTGCAAGAACATAACAGAATTTTGTTACATCCCACATTATAAATCTTGTAGGCACGATAAGATTGTTACTTGCATCCTTTCACCTCCAGCCTTAAAGCACCTGTGGTGAGTGCAGCCAAATATAAGAAAAAAATGAAGCTTGTCTTATCCGATGGCAGATGGAACAGTTAGGTTTAAGCAAATGTATAATCGTAAACCGTTTTTCAGAGGTTCACAAAAACGGCCAGATAGATTGGAGATGGGGATTGTGCAATTTACAGGAAGAAATCCATCCATGGTTATTAATCAACACACACCCATCCAACCCTGCTTCCAAATTCAGTCCCACATCCCACTATATGGCAGCCTCTGGCCGGGAAAGGAAACCAACACAGAAAAATGCCTCCTTAGGAGCAAAAGTACTGCAGTATGAAGCCTGTGCCAATTAAGTAAACAAGTTTAAGTGCCACTAGATGGGTATAAGGGAAAAGAGGTGAGTTAGGAGACTCATACTTAACTGTTAAAATAGAACAGATGTGTCCTCTTGCACCGTGATAGCCATCCACTATTTAAAGTAGTATGGATGTTGCACAGTACATCAAAGTTAGTTCTAAAACATAATTGAGCACGCTAATCTAGGGTATTTGGCTCAATTAGCCAGTTTCTTCACCTTTTCTCTATTATCTTCCTGCATCTTTCCTCCTACCACGCATGCTTTTGTTCCTATGGGTAGCACCTTCTGATCTTTTTCTCTTTCCATCAAGTATCCTCTCTCATCTTCAGTGCCATTCCCCATTGGCTTATTTCTCTGTTTGTAGTCATAAATTCTTCCTTTCCTGAAAATTTCTTCTTTCAGTTTCATATACCCTATCTTTCATTTTCTCTTCTCCAAATGCCTCAAAGGAATAAAGTGTTCTCAATTGTTTCCATTTCTTGATCTTCTGTTAACTGCATACAGTCTGGCTTCTGATTTCCCATTCTACTTATCCTTTTTCCAAATGGTCATAAAGGTTGGTATAAAAAACTTAAGTAGAGGAACATATCATAAATCTATATGTGAAGATTAAATAAAATAAATGCTATCCCTAAGTTTTATGCATTCACAATCAAAATTCTAAGTTTTTAAGAATCAGCTTAGCAATTTTAGCATTGAAAAACTGTAAGGACAAAATAGAAAATATTCTAGAAAAGCAGCCGGCATGATGGCTCACACCTGTAATCCCAACACTTTGGGAGGCTGAGGTGGGTGGATCACTTGAGATCAGGAGTTCGAGATCAGCGTGGCCAACATGGTGAAACCCCAGCTACTTGGGAAACTGAAGTGGGAGGATCACTTGAACCCGAGAGGCAGAGGCTGCAGTAACCCAAGATCGTGCTATTGCACTCCAGCCTGAGTGACAGAGTGAGACTCCATCTCAAAAAAAAAAAAAAAAAAGAAAAAAAGATTCTAGAAAAGAGAACAGCGAGTAGATACTAGGTCTTCCAGATATTAATACATTCCTAGAGCAACAGTAAGTCATACAGTATTAGTGCAAAAGAGAAACATATGGATCAGTGAGGCAGAATAGTGATATAAGAAATATCCCCCAAAATTTAGCATCTAATAATCACAAAACATCAAAAGTTATTAGGTGGTCCTGATTATTGAATGGATAACAAGTAGTTTTATCTCTCTCTCTCTCTCTCTCTCTCTCTCTCTCCCCACAAATCAGTGAGAGTATTGTTAAAAGGAAAAAAAGCTATTATATCAAGAAGATATTTGTAAGAATTTTTATGAGAAAATAAGTGAGAATTTAAGAATATAAGTTTCAGACTATGTGAAAATCCAGTGTTACCAATGCCTTTTATATTATATAGCCTAACAACCTCTTTACAATCTTTTTTTTTTTTTTTAGACAGTGGTCTCACTCCCATCGCCTAGGCTGGAGTGCAGTGAGCAACGTGGCTCACTGCAGCCTTGACTTCCCGGGTTCAGGTGATTCTCCCACTTCAGCATCACGAGTAGGAGGGAATACAGGCACGTGCTACTGCACCTAATTTTTTGTATTTTTAGTAGGGACGGGGTTTCACCATGTTGCCCAGACTAGTCGTGAACTCCTGGGCTCAAGAGATGCACCTGCCTTGCTTGGACTCCCAAAGGGTTAGGACTATGGGCATGAGCCACTGCCTCCAGCCACTAAAATGTTAATTCTACTTTATATTCTTGTAATTTTTATTAATCGTTCCCTCCTTTTATTGATGAATTGATTGATTGAGACAGGATCTCACTCTGTTGCCCAGGCTGGAGTGTAGTGGCACGATCTCACGGGTCACTCACTACAGCCTCTACTTCCTGGACTCAAGCAATCCTCCCACTTTAGCCTCTCAGTAGCTGCGACTACAAGGTGCATACCATCACGCCTTGCCAATTTTTTTATTTTTTGTAGAGACAGGGTTTCGCTATATTGCCCTGGCTGGCGTGGAGCTCTTGGGCTCAAGTGATAGGCCCACCTTCTCCTACCCAAGTACTGGGATTACTGGCGTGAGTCGCGCACCCTTCCCATTCCCTTCTTTTAAAACTCTTCTCAGCTTGATACCCACCTTTCCCGTTTTCACTACTTTGAATGCTTTTTTCTTTGTACCCCTTGAAATTGAATGAAAAATTACAGATTTGCAAATGTATAGGAAGATGAAGAACATCTTTGCAGTGCAAGAATAAAGTTGTAAGTGCCTGGACTCCAGTGATAGCATTGAAAAGGAATCACCTGACATTTTGAATAGAGCTTATACAGTGGATATACTAAAAATTGTATTTTGTCATGGGCTGTAAGGAATGGTGGATATAATGTCAATGATCACTAAGTTTTAGAGGATTTGTAAGGAAGAATAGTAGAATGTTTTCAAAATTAGGAAGTCAGTTGGGAAAGAACCAGTTTTGTTCACTAGGAATGGAAGTGATACTTTTTTTCTGGTATCAAAACAATCTTGACTTTTTCTCCTTCTCTTAGGGTGTATTTCCTTTTTTTCGATCCTGCAACAGCCTCTTTAAACTGTTTAAATGAGAATGTCCTTGGCTCAGAGAGTACTACTCACCTGGCTTTTCACATTACTCTTCTTGATCATGTTGGTGTTGAAACTGGATGAGAAGGCACCTTGGAACTGGTTCCTCATATTTATTCCAGTCTGGATATTTGATACTATCCTTCTTGTCATGCTGATTGTGAAAATGGCTGGGCGGTGTAAGTCTGGCTTTGACCCTCGACATGGATCACACAATATTAAAAAAAAAGCCTGGTACCTCATTGCAATGTTACTTAAATTAGCCTTCTGCCTCGCACTCTGTGCTAAACTGGAACAGTTTACTACCATGAATCTATCCTATGTCTTCATTCCTTTATGGGCCTTGCTGACTGGGGCTTTAACAGAACTCGGATATAACGTCTTTTTTGTGAGAGACTGACTTTTAAGTACATCATCTCATTTCTATTGCTGTTCAACAAGTTACCATTAAAGTGTTCTGAATCTTTCAAGCTTCAAGAATACCAGAGAACTGAGGGAAAATAACAAATGTAGTTTTATACTACTTCCAAAAAACAGGACTGGTGAATCACGGACTTCCAGTCAACCTACAGCTTAATTATTCAGTATTTGAGTTATTGAGATCCTTATTGTCTCTATGTAAATAAAGTTTGTTTTGGACCTCATTTTTCTACATGACTCTTGAATAATCTGTTGTATGTGGTCAGTATGTAAAGTAAGTAAATATAAAACCTTTAACCTACATGTTTGGGCCAGGCGAGGTGGCTCACACTTGTAATCCCAGCACTTTGGGAGGTCGAGGCAGGTGGATCACTTGAGATCAGGAGTTCAGGACCAGCCTGGCCAACATGGTGAAACCCCGTCTCTACTAAAAGTACAAAAATTAGCCAGGCATGGTGGTGGGCGCCTGTAATCCCAGCTACTCAGGAGGCTCAGACAGGAGAATCACTTGAACCCTGGAGGTGGAGGTTGCAGTGAGCCAAAATCACACCACTGCACTCCAGCCTGGGCAATAATAGGGCTAGACTCCATCTCAAAAACAAAACAAAACCTACATGTTTGAATAGAAGTTTAATATACGACGGTTGTATTATGACCAAAGTAAATGGCCATTTGTGTTTCTAAATTATGAAGGAAAAACAAACCTAGTTACTAAAACAGGGATGCCATTTTGTATTTACATTTAGAAAGAATCTGAGTTTGACAAATTTTTATCTAGGCTAAATTCATTATTACCTCTATCTTCTGGTTGGGACAAATAATTCTGAGGTGGCATGTTAAAAAAGCAGAAAAGCTGGGCGCGGTGGCTCACGCCTGTAATCCCAGCACTTTGGGAGGCCAAGGCGGGCAGACCATGAGGTCAAGAGATCGAGACCATCCTGGCCAACATGGTGAAACCCCATCTGTACTACACAAAAATTAGCTGGGCATGGTGGCGGATGCCTGTAGTCCCAGCTACTCGGGAGGCTGAGGCAGGAGAATCGCTTGAACCCAGGAGGCAGAGATCACACCACTGCACTCCAGCCTGGCAAAAGAGCGAGACTCCCATCTCAAAAAAACAAAACAACAACAAAAAAAAAACAGCAGAAGCTTGCCACTTACTAAAGTTAGGGGGACCTAATAATCCTGATTCTGTGAGGACAGGCCCAGTTTATACCTGTTGTCCTCGGGTCTCAAGGAATTAGTGCCCCTCTCACAATTAGAAGTGTCTTGAATTGAGAAAGCATATTATCACCTTCAAGGTACTAATCAATTCCAATGAAGCAGAGGTGGCAGTACTTATAAAAATTCCAAAGAGGTTGAAGTGTTTTATAACCCTGAAGCACGATGATTGTTCTTACCCTATACAACCCTCACCTTTAGCTTTAAGAGAAATCTAAAGTGATTTTTTTTTTTCTGTTTTAAAAAGATCAAACAAAAAAGTGATTTCTGGCTACTGAAACAGAAGGTCTAGTTCTGCCTTGTAATGACAGATAACATAAGTTTCACAACACAACAGATTAATACAGCGTAACTCATTAGGCATTTGAACTAGAGAACTAGGCTAAATAAAAACTAATCAACTGCAAATATTTTCATCTTATAATTGGCAATAATTAGTATTTTCAGTACATAAAAATAGGATTGAGAATAGTTAGTACTAGGAATAGAATGTTCCAGGCTTGATCAGATACCTCTAACTCAACTGAGAGATCCATCCATGCTTTGGTTTATGGGATCTATCATTAAATAAATTCCAAGTAGAAGAAAGCTTACATTTCTCTAAAAAACCAGCCAAGAGGATTTTGGAGTACAGGGAAAAGGAAAAGAAGGGATGGCACCGCGGCAAACAACCAGCTAGGCCAGAAGTCAGCAAAATTTCTCTGTAAAGGGCTGCTCAGTAAATGTTTAGGCTTTTAGGTGATGTGGTTTCTTTTGCAACTACTCAACTCTGTCTTTATGGCAGAGAAAGCAGCCATAGACCATGGCTATATCCCAATAAAACCCTATTTATGGACATGAAATTTAAATTTCAAATGATTTTCATATCACAAAATACTATTTTTACTTTTGTGTCAACCATTTAATGCCATAAAAACCATTCTTGCCTCACACACCATAGAAAAACTGGTGGTGCGTTAGATATGGCCTACGGGAGGTAATTTGCTGACCCCTGTGCTAGGCAATAAAAGCAGAATGGAATTCTGTGTGAGATGTTAAGAGGAAAGGTCTCTTGCTCCCCTAAACAGTTCTACAAGGAAGGAAGAGAGAAATTAGGTAAGAATTGTACGTAAACAGCAACACAATAACCAACTTGTTTACACATGAGGGTCAATGAATTTTTACAGCATCTGAAGGATTCCCAGAAAGCAGAACTGCTCTACTAAATAAACACTTGAAGCAGCACAATAAATTATCATGGATATGTGCCTCAATACACCCATAATGTATTACAACATTACGTAATGAAAGACATTAAAGATAGAAATCATGCTTACAGGTAGAAAAATCAAAACAAATGGACCAATATGTAAACAGTACTGTACGAAAATACCTTCCTAGGTTTTAGTTATAGGATTCTTGTTTATATGACAGAGAAATCTACCAATGACGTTTTTTAAGATTAAACACACAATGCCTCATGAAGGAAACTTAAACATCAGAGGTTCTTACCAAAGCCGATTTTTTCTAGGTTAGCATGGATGTAACTTACTCTGGTTTGGGCAAAAGATTTGTCATCAACAATCTGAGTAAAAGCAACCTGTGCACAAAATAACTTTTTATAAGACTTGAAACTATGAAAAGGGGCGGAGTGCAGTGGCTCATACCTGTGGTCCCAGCTACATGGAAGGCTGAGGTGGGAGAATCGCTTGAACCTGGGAATTCAAGATGACAGTAAGCTATGATCATGCCACTGCACTCCAGCATGGGTGACAAAGTGAGACCCTGTCTCAAAAAAAAAAGAAAAAGGCTAAGTGTGGTGGCCCACACCCACACCTGTAATCCCAGCACTTTGGGAGGCCGAGGCGGGTGGATCACTTGAGATCAGGAGTTCAAGACTAGCCTGGCCAACAGGGCAAAACCCTGTCTTAACTAAAAATACAAAAAATTAGCTGGGTGTGGTGGCCGGCGCCTATAGTCCCACTTGAACCTGGGAAGCAGCGGTTGCAGTGAGCCGAGATCGTACCATGGCACTCCAGCCTGGGCAACAAGAGTGAAACTCCGTCTCAAAAAATAAAATAATAATTTTAAAAAACATTCAAATGATCCAGAACTTAGTAACATTTCATGAACATAGGGACCAGATATGGTAGCCTCAACCAAACATGTAAAGCATGAACACAAATCTACCAACAAAGAGCTTTCAAGCACCAAGAAAAATACTTGTACAAAGCTTCAAGAAGTAGAGATCTATCCTTGGGTTCAAGCTTACTGCAATTTTAAAAGTTATTAACCTGCGGGACGCCGTGGCTCACACCTGTAATCCCAGCACTTTGGGAGGCCGAGGCAGGTGGATCACGAGGTCAGGAGTTCGAGACCAGCCTGTCCAACATGGTTAAACCTCATCTCTACTAAAAATACAAAAATTAGCCGGGTGTGGTGGCCGGCACCTATAATCCTAGCTACTCAGGAGGCTGAGGCAGGAGAATTGCTTGAACCCTGGAGGCAGAGGTTGCAGTGAGCCAAGATCGCACCACTGCACTCCA